ACCACCTCTCTGGGCAGCCTGGGCCAGGGGCTCACCACCTTCACAGTAAAACATTCCTCCCTTCTCTCCCATGTAAATCTCCCTCTTTTGGTTTCAAACCATCCCCCCTTGTCCTGTCCCAACAGGCCCTGCTCAAAAGTCTGTCCCCAGCTTTCTTCTAGGCCTCCTTGAAGTCCTGGAAAACCACCAGAAGCTCTCCCTGGAGCCTTCTCTTCTCCAGGCTGCCCAAGCTGTAACCCTGGCTGCTTTTAGATACAAATCTCTTTGATCCCTGCAGGTGATTGAAATGAAGACTGAAGTGACTTCAGACCACGAAGATTTTGCCTACAACAGCCTGAAGGTGAGTGGGGAGCTCCTGCTTAGTGCTGTAACCTATCACAGGGCTCCAGGAGCCCAAACTCTTCACCTGAACGTGGTGAGAACCCAAAACCTCCTCTACTTGGCTCCAGCCATTGGAGGTGGCAGTTGGGAAGCTGTGGCTCTCCATCAGCTGCTTGGCCTGAGGTGGACTCACAGATGTTTCTCTCTGGGGCAACATCTGCTCCAGTCTACCTGTTGTAGGGTCATTCATGGTGGTAACAAGTGGTGAAGGGTCCTTTCTCCAACCTTCCTTGGCTTTCCTTTGACATGAGACTGGAGGTCTCAGCAGTTTTGCTCTGCAGTAGATGTGAATTCTTGCAGCTGAAGCCAAATGTGCTTCTTCTCCCAAGCTCCAACTCCTCTTCTTGCCCATTTTCTGTGTGTTCCCAAGGTGCCACCTGGGTCAAAACTCACTAAATCTGTTGTGGGGATGGCAGGAGTAGCTTCCACCTCTCACCATAGTCCTCCTGTGTCTTCAGAGCTATTGTCCTGCCTTGCAATCCATCAAGCTCCAAATCCTTATGGTTCTACCTCCATCATTTTCTCCCTACAACACAGAAAACAACAAGGTGGTCACTGCCCCATCCCTGGAACCATCCCAGGGGAGGTTGGATGGAGCTCTGAGCAACCTGCTCTAGCTGCAGATGTCCCTGCTCCCTGCAGGGAGGTTGGTCTAGATGACCTTGAAAGGTCCTTTCTAACCCAAACCAGTCTGTGATCCTGTGATGCAGGACTGGAGGGATGTGAAACATCTCCCTGGTGGGACAGATGTCCCTGAGTCACCCCTGGGTACAACAAAAAGTTCCCCAGGGAAAAATCTATTTCCAGGTTTGGTTTTTTTTCAGGCTGGGGAAGGAGGAGGAGTTATGAAGGCACCAAGGAATCCTCACCAGGCCTTTGTGTTCCTAGCAGGAGCATGACCCATGGTGGGATTTCTCACTCTTTGCATAGCTGGGATGTTTCTTTCATCCCTGGGATGTTTCTTTCATCCCTTAGACAAAGCTCATTTCCTTTTCTTATCCTGTCAAGCAGCAGAACTGGAGGAGAGGGCAAATTCTTGGCATGAGAGTGCTAACCTCTGATTTAGATAGACTCCTACTTCACCCAGCACTGCCCTGCAAGCTCCATCCTGAAGAGTGAAGCTCTTTCCATCCCTGTGAACACCTGAGGACCTCTTCCACACACCCCCCCCCAACGTTGGGCAGAGTGTCAGTTGAAGTTTCAGGATGTTCTGACCGTGTGACTTGTGAAATCAATGAGCACTTTTGGGCTAAGCTGAAGAAAGAGCATTTCTCCCAGTGCAGGTAGAAATCACAGAACGTTTTGGGTGGGAAGGGACCTTCTAAGGTCATCCAGTCCAAGCCTTGTGCACTGAGCAGGGACAGCTGCCCCTAGAGCAGGTTGCTCAGAGCCCCCAACCAACCTCTCCTGGAATGGTCAAGCACCTCTCTGGGCATCCTGGGCCTGGATCTCACCCCCTTCAGTGTCCCAAACTCCTTCTCTCCAGTTGAAATCTCCTCTCTTGGAGTTTGGAGCCATCACCCCTCCCCTTGATGTAAACTGCTCCACCTGCTTTGGCTTTTCCAGAGGCAGGAACTGGAATCAGAGAACAAGAAGCTGAAAAATGAACTGAACGAGCTGAGGAAGGCCATGGCTGACAGAGCCACCCAAAACAACTCCTCCAACGACCTCCAGGACATCTACAACCTCCTCCTCAACCAGCTGAAGTCGGCCAACGAGGAGCTGGAGGTGCGGAAGGAAGAGGTGCTCATCCTGAGGACACAGATCATGAAGGCAGCCCAGCAAAAAGAAATGGGGAAGAACCTGGTAATGGAGAAGGTCTTGGGTTGGCTTTTCCTTTTCCCATTCTTGGACCTTCACCGAGCGATGACTTTTCTGCTTTGAGGAGGCTCTGGGTGGCAGGATGGAAGGGGGAGGTTGTAGGAGGTTCTGGAGGGTTGTAGGAGGTTCTGTCTATGGGTAAGACACAGTCCATGACATTTCAGACAGCTCAGGACTAGATGTTCCATGGTGGACTGTGCTGTTGGAGAGCTTTTGACCCCATCCCTGGTGAGATCTAGCCAGCCCACACTGAGGAACAGCTTCTCCAGCCCTACACCAAGGTGTGGTGGTCTGAGATGTTCCTGGTGAATGTTGTGTGACAACTGGCTTGTTCTGGAGGGAAATGAGGTGAGGAAAAGAGCTTCTAGACTAGAGTCTGCTCACTTGGTAGAGCTGTGATGTGTTTCTGCTGGTGTGAAGGCAAGAGAAGAGCCTGTCCCATCACAGTTGAGGGCTCTTCTCTTTGGAGGCTCTTCTGACTGAAGGGTGCAATTCCTAAAAACTCTCACTTGGGCTTTTTAAGCCTCTGCCTTATGGCTCCTTGAGGGTTTGTGTTTCAGACCACACAACCCCCTCATCTCCCTCTCAGGTTCACTCCATCTCCTAATCTCTGCTGCTGTCTACCCCCATGTCTGATTTCACAGAAGCTCTCCAGTCTGAGGGACACCCTGAGGAAACTTAAGGACAACGGGGGGTTGTTGAGGATCAGGAGCTCAGAGGATGCATTCAGGATGTCATGCTGTTGTGTTTTGCATGTTGAATTTAGGAGAGCATCACCACCACTGCCAGCTGGCCCAACAGTGACAAACACATTGACCAGGAGGACGCCATCGAAGCCTACCAGGGGATGTGTGAGACCAACCGGTAAGTGGGGGCCCCACCCAAGCTGGAGACATCCACACCAAAGTCAACAGCAAGGCTCAGAGAGAGGTCACAGCTGCTGGGTTCTGCTCTGGACCTTGGCTCGAGGGTGGATCCTAAAGATGGGACCCAAGATGCAAGTCTTGGGACGGGGGAAGAGCCCTTGAGGTTGGGGCGGCGTGTCCCTGAGGGCGAGGAGATGTTGGGCAGGTGGAAAAGCCAAGGTAGATGTGAGCAAAACTGGATTTTGGCTTGCTTCCAGTACAGAAATAGTAGCAAGAGTGAGATTTTGGAGTCTTTTTAGGAGTTCCTTATTTGAAGGAAGTCCTCATGCTATGCTGGAGAAGACCACAGGGTTCTCCTCTGGTTTGCCCAGAGGCAGAAAGCCCCGTGGTGGTGAAGTGAGATCAAACACAAGCTGGCAACACCCAGATTGCTCTTCTTGTGTCAAAACTGAGAATTGGAAACCTTTCTTCAACGATGGCTTTCCTGCAAGGGTTAATACTGTGAACGTGTGTCCATCCTTGGAGCAACCCCAGGCTCCTGTGGTGAGGTGTTCAGTCAATCCTTGCAGCTATCCAGGAGGACATCAAGTGATAAAGTTGTATCTTGCAAGAAGACAAAATGAAACAGATTAAACATCAAGATAATATGTTTTCTTGCAAGGAGATTGGGTGTTCATCTCCTTTTCTCTTGAGAAATACACCTTGGAGGCTTTCTTCCTAAATCATTTGGGTTCAGGAGGTAGTCAGAAGACCCAACCCTTGTGGATCAATGGCTTTTAATACACTCTGCCACTTTGTCAAGTGGTTGCAGAAGGTTGTTAGGAGTCCAGGCTGGGCAAGACCATGACTTAATTAGGATTTAATCTGTACCTGTATGAATATGAGCCAAGACTTTTGAAGGAAGCATGAAAAAGTGAAGAGTTGCTCAATGCATCTCATCTAGGATGACAACCTGTGGAGATCTCCTGGTGCACGAGCACAGAGATGGGCTTGCTGGAAGGGCTGGGTTCCACACACATCCTGAAGACCCTTGATGGCTGGTAGTTCTCCCAGAGAGGTTCTACCAGCTTTTACTTCATCCCAGAGACCTGAAGGAGTGGGGGGTGTTGGGGTCCAGGACTCTGGTGACACTTGTTTCTCAGCAGCATCATGTCTTGGTGGATCAAGACCAGTGTTTGGTTTCTTTCTTTCTATTTCCCATTACCTACTTGCTTTCCTGAAGTGACCTTGCTGATGAAAGTCCTCCCCCTCCTCCAGTAGAGGTGAGGAGATTGATTTCACCATCACCTTGTTGTCAGTAAATCAATGGCCCTCAACATCCTTCCTGCTCCAAGGTGGGATTTTTGGGTCACTTCATCAATTCCATCCATTTTCTCTTGATCATCTTCCAATTTCCTCCTGGAGCTGTGGACACTGGTGTGGGATGTGAGGTCCCACCAGCAGGCACAGCTTTAACTGCTCCCCAGGGGCACCGACCACCTCTCTGGGCAACCTGGGCATGGAGCTCACCACCCTCCCAGTGAAGAACTTCTTCCTTTGATGCCAGGTCAAGGAGAAGTTTGAATTAAAAGCAACCCCTTAGAAACAAGGTGGACTCAGCTTTTTTTTGACCTGATTTTGGTTTTCTCTTTTCCTCTTGCTGATTTTTGCTGACTGTAAAGTTTTGTTCCTCCCTCACTTCTTGGGATCTTTCTTTTGAGCCTCTTTGGTCTTGGTGGAAACGTTGAGCCAACAAAAAATTCACTTCTGTGATTTCTGTAGAATCCATGGCTCTCATTTTTCTTCTGGGTGAATCCCACCTGCAGCTGCCCAGTGAAGCACTGACCTCATGTGGAGGATGCTCCCTGCTGGACCATCCCAGAGGAGGCCACAACAATTGTCCAAGGGCTGGAAGCCCTCTGCTGGGAGCCCAGCAGGAGAGAGTTGGGCTGGGGCAGCTGAGAGGAGAAGGCTCCAGCTGAGGAGACCTTCTGGTGGCCTTTCAGTCCTTCAAGGGGGCCTGGAAGAAAGCTGAGGACAAACTTTTGAGCAGGGGCTGTTGGGACAGGTCAAGGGTTAGTTGCAGATGTCCCTGCTCCCTGCAGGGAAGTTGGACTAATTAACTTGATTAGCTAAAAAGAATCCTTTTTGGCTTTTCATGTCCTGGTCAATATGAATTTAAGGTCATCCAGGAGAATGCATCTCCTGGGAGATTTCCCAGGTTGCTGATGTGCCATAAATAATGAGGAGCAAGTTGTGTCAAAGGAGGTTTAGGTTGGACAGGAGGACAAATGTCTTCATGGGAAGGGTTGTTTTGTGTCCCTCACCCCACATCTCCAGGGCTTGGAAACCCCTCCAGGGGTGGGGACTCCACCACTGCCCTGGGCAGCCTGGCACAGCCCTGCACAGCCCTTGCCAGGGAGACATTGCTCCTCAGGGCCAACCTCAACCTCCCCTGGGGCAACCTGAGGCTGGTTCCTCTTGTCCTGTCCCTTGTTCCTTGGGAGAAGAGACTGACCCCAACCTGGGGTTCTTGTTGACTCCCAATATAGGGTATCCATGCTTCTTTCAGGGACTTTCCTGCACTTTATAACCTAAAAAACTCCAACTATTAAGTGGAAACTTCTTGTATTAAAGTGAGATGAGATTCTTCTGGATGGATACAGAGAAGATTAGATCTCAAGGAAACAAATATCCAGGAGCTGGTTGGTCTGAAGGTTGCTCTAAGGAAAGACTGTTTGGCTTGATGATTGAGGAGACCCTCCACTGGAGTAGAAGGAAGAGAATTTATTTTAAACCAGTAGAATTTGCTGCAGAAGGAAGGAAATGGAGAAAGTTGGCTCAAAAGTGGCTTATTAGTGAGATGTGGCAGAGAGCAGAAGGTCTGGAAGAGGAGTGAGCTGCTCCAAGGTGTCAGTAGAAAATGGGGTTGGAAGTTCACGTGGGATCTTCCAGCTCAAAAATAGTTATTTTTGGGGTGGGGGAGAAGCAAGAAGCCTGTTGGGAGTTGCTAAAGATCACTCTGCTTTTCATTGGACCTCCTCTGGGTTTGGACCTTTCTTCCTCTACCCTTTGTGTTGACTTCTGCTTTCTCATTTGTCCTTCATGGTCCTTTTTTCTTCTCCCTGGCTTTCAAGAGTCAGGATTTAATGAGGATTTGAGGCAGCTGCTGTGCTGTGGACTTGTCAGTTCTTCCCATCAAACAAGAAACAATTTACCCCTCCAGAAATGACAACTCTGGCCCTGACCTCCAGGAGCTGGGCTTATTTGGGTCAAAGCAGGAACATCTCAGGAGTGGTGATAACCCCCAAGGAGGTTGGAGCTGGGATGGAGCAATGATCACTTCCACCCTGAATGATTTGGGGTCGCCACGTTGGCCGTGGTGGGTCAGGGAAAAAAGGACATGAGGCCACGTTTCCCAGCTGGAGAAGGAGGAGAAGCTCCACCAGCCCTGCTGGAGGAAGCATGACCAGGGTGTGGTTCTCCTCCCCCATGCTGGGAAAGGAGACACAATGCCATGAAACAAAGACCTGAAGGAGGGTTCTGCACCTTTGCCCTTTTCATTGTAACTGACCTTTTGTCTTTCTCTGTCTTCTCCTGTCCTTCTCCTGACCTTTACTTCTAGCAAGACTGAGGACTGGGGGTATCTCAATGAAGATGGAGAGCTGGGCTTGGCTTACCAAGGCTTAAAGCAAGTTGCCAGGTCAAACCCTTTCTTTTATTCCCCTCACCTCTTCCTCTCCTCTCTCCCTCCCCCTCTTGGTTCTTTCCCTTCCTCTGCTCTCATCCCCTTGTCCTCCACAGGACCTGTGGTCCTCTCCACTGGAGGAAACGAGACCCTCCTCTTGTTCTCAGAGGAGTTGTTGTGGTTCCAACTGGGCCTTGCTGCAGGTGGTTGGTTGGCACCAAGGCCTGAGCTGGGATTCAGTAAGAACAATGTTCCATTTCTGAGAAATTGGGTGATAAAGGGGTTGGGAAGCTCATCTCCAGGAACCACCTCCTCAAAAAAAACCCCTTGTAGATGTTTTATTCTGAATGATGCTGAGATACAGCACCTCCTGAAAGTGTTTTCTCCCAACCTTTGTCAGAAGTGGAGTCCTTGTGCTTGCCTTGCATGCTCCCATCCATCTGCTGCCTGCTGGGGTGAGGAGGAAGGTGTGTGGTGGACATGCAGTGCCAGCCTTCCACAGCTCACCCCACGTCCTGCTATGAGGGGCACACACCCCCCAGCAGGACACCTTGGGACCATGCCTCCAACCTCCACATCTCCTGGGGGTGCTGGTGCTTCTCAGAGGATCTCTCAGCTGCCAGCTCCTGAAGGTTTAGAAACAGAAATGGAGAGGAAAGCAAGGCAGAAGGACTCTGGGTTTCTTCTCCTGCTTCAACCTGGTGCTTGGAAGAGCTGATCATTAAATGTTCATCCAGCTCTGCTCTCCTGCAGGGTTGGTATGAGGCTCCAAGATAAGATTTATCTCAAACGAGCTGATTAAGGACAGGAAAAGTTCAACCAAACTTTGGTATGAAGTAACCTAAAACAGTCCTATCTAGAGGGATCTGAGTCAAACCAGCCCCAAAAAAATACCAGGGTTGACTCATTTGTTTTTCAAAGCAAGGTAGGAACCCAAGTTTCTAGGAGGAGTGTGTTTTTTCTGAGGCTGGCTCATGGTTAAATCCAAACCCACGTGAAGAAATGAAATGGAAATGAAATGGAAATGAAATGCTTTATACTCCTCTCCTGGTGGGCCTTTGTTTCCAAGCCTTTGAAGGAGGGAGCTCCTGACAAGATGATTGCAAAGCTGAGTGTGTTGTTGCCCATGTTGCTGTAGCTGGAAAAACCCCCCCTTCTATTGTTCTGCTGGAAAATGGGAGCAGAGATTGGGTGCTTTAGATCTTCTAACAGCAACCAAAAAACTTACCCTAAAATCTAGGAGAAGGATGAATGGTTTTCATCCAGAAGCTTTCCACAGGAAACCTGTTCTTTTATACAGTCCTTCACAAAGCTGTGCCCAGGAGAGCACATCCATGAGCTACAGCAAGGACATGGGCTTGGGCATCCCCATGGGTCCTTCCTCCTCTTTGCCACCATCTCCTTTTATCAGCTGGGACTAACACTTGGCAGTTTCAGGCTTGATGGTCCTTCATCAAAGTCCTCATCCCTTCTAGAGTCACTTCTGTGAGGCCTCTTGAGAGAACTGGTGGACTGAAGAGTGGTGGCCACCAAATAAATGTTCTACCAACCCTTCAGCTCAGCAATTCCATCCCCTCAGGGTTGTCCAGGTGCTGAGGGCAAGGGCTGAAGTCGTGGACTGATGGGTGTGGTCCTCTCCTCAGGTTGCTGGAAGCACAGCTCCAGGATCAGAGGAGAGAATACGAGGAGGAGGTGGAAGCTCTGAAAAACCAAGTGGATGCAATGAAAGAAGAGCTGGAGAAACAGCAACAGACTTTCCTGCAGACCCTGCAGCTCTCTCCAGAGGCCCAAGTGGAGTTTGGACTTCAGCAAGAGATCACACGTCTCACCAATGAGAATCTGGTAAGAGCCCAAGGAAGAGGGGAAGGAAAAAGGGGTTGAGAGAAAGGAGGTAGGAGCTGTGAAGGTCTGAAGGTTGGGCCCTCCTGGGTTCAGCTGAAGGCTTCTTGCCTTTCTCAACAACACGAGTGTCCAAGTAGTGTTGGAACCACTTCAATAGGATTGAACAACCAGGAGTCAAAGGCTTTTGATGGTGTGTTGTGAGAACTTCCTGCTCAGAGCTCCTCCTGGAAGCAGCAGGTGCACAACATCCATGGTCATAGAACCACAGAAGCGTTTTGGTTGGAAGAGACTTTTAAGATCGTAGAGTCCAACTGTTAACCCAACACTGCCAGGTCCCCACTGAACCAGGTTCTTCATCACCACATCTTCCACAGCTTGGAGCTTTTCTTTTTCAGGATCTTAAAGAATTGCTGGAGAAGTTGGAAAAGAATGAAAAGAAGCTGAAGAAGCAGCTGAAGATTTACATGAAGAAGGTCCAAGATTTTGAAGGTGATTTGGCTGTTGGTGGACATTGGGGTGGGGGAACAGCACATTCTGGGACCAAGCAGAGTCAGAATCACAGAATTGTTTGGGTTGGAAGAGACCTTTCAGATAGAGTCCAACCCTTCCCCCATCCCTGCCAGGTCCCCACTGCCCCGTGTCCCTCACCCCACATCTCCAGGGCTTGGAAACCCCTCCAGGGGTGGGGACTCCACCACTGCCCTGGGCAGCCTGGCACAGCCCTGGAAGACATTGCTCCTCAGGGCCAACCTCAACCTCCCCTGGGGCAACTTGAGGCTGGTTCCTCTTGTCCAGTCCCTTGTTCCCAACCCCCCCCTGGCTCCAGGCTCCTGTCAGGAGCTGTGCAGAGCCAGAAGGTCTCCCCTGAGCCTCCTTTGCGCCAGGCTCAGCACCCCCAGCTCCCTCAGCTGCTCCTCCCCCCACTTGGCCTCTAGACCCTTCCCCAGCAGCTCCGTTGCCCTTCTCTGGCCACGCTCCAGCCCCTCAAGGTCCTGCTGGAAGGGGGGGGCCCAAAACTGACCCCAGGATTTGAGGAGCAGCCTCCCCAGTGCCCAGTCCTAGGGGACAATCCCTGCCCTGCTCCTGCTGGCCACACCAGTGCTGCTCCAAGCCAGGCTGCTGGTGGCCTCCTTGGCCACCTGGGCACACGCTGCCTCATCTCCAGCTGCCTGTCCACCAACCCCCCAGGTCCTTTTCCCCCAGGCACTTTCCAGCCCCTCTCCCCCAGCCTGGAGCACTGCAGGGGGTTGATGTGACCCAAGGGCAGGACCCAGCCCTTGGTGCTGTTGAACCTCATCCCGTTGGCCTTGGTCCATTGATCCATGCTGGGCAGATGAGAGATACAGGTTGGAGACCAGTGGCTCTGCAGTTCTGCTTTCCACCCAGGCAGAATATGGGAGGCTGAGGTCTATTTTTATTGCCTGGCTGGTGTTTTTTCCACCTCTGTGAAAATGACCCACTAAAAAGCTTCTCACAGGGTTACTCCCTTCTAGTCTGTGGTTCCTCAGCAAATAAAGTCCCAGATTCACACAGATTCCCAGCAGGGTGGGGTTGGAAGGGACCTCTGGAGATGATCTCCTCCAACCCCCCTGCTCCAGCAGGTCACCCAGGGTCACAGCCAGGTGGGTTTGGGATCTCTCCAGAGCAGGAGACTCCACAGCCTCTCTGGGCAGCTGCTCCAGGCTCTGCACCCTCACCCCAAAGAAGTTTTTCATTATATCTTCATCTTCTCCTCTTTTGATCCAACTCTTGCCCTCTCCCTCAGAGCCAGACCCACTGCTGAGCACTCATTCCAGACCAGGTTCTTCCTCTTTTGCCAAGTCAAAGCTGATGGCAGTGTTGGAACCTTAATGCTTTGAGCTGATGTCTTCTCCAAGGCTGGTGGAGGACATGAAGAGCTGCCCATCACCAGGTCCCACCTGCCATGTTCTTCTTCTCTTCCCAGCATCCCAAGCTGTGGTACCAGCAGAGAGGAGGCAGCAGGAGCCTAACATGCAAGTTGCTGTCCAGAGGAAGGAGAAAGATTTTCAGGGCATGTTGGAGTACTACAAAGAAGATGAACCACTCCTCATCCGAAACCTCATCACAGGTGAGGAGCTTCTCTGCCTGGCTCTTCCTTCTCTGGCCTGGAAGAGGTGGTGAAGTTGACATCTCAAGATGTTTGAGCTGCAGGTTTTTGCTGAGGGGAGTTTGGGTAGGTCAAGCCACCCATGTCATGAATTCAGGCTTCAGTGCAGCTAGTTCCACCTCCCCAAGCCCTGGTGCTGCAGCCCTTCTTCTTCAGCCAGCTCCAGGAGGTCCACCTGACCAGCAGTGGGACCTCTTGGTGGTCTGCCCACGCTGCAGAACCACAACTTCATCTTCCCTAGAGCTGGAGGGGAGGGGTTGACCTGGGCACACCTCCAGCTCTGGTGCTCACTTGGGAGTTGGTGAGTTTTAAGATGATTTTTTTGGTAAGAAGACCTCTAAACCTTCTAGATCTCAAGCCCCAGACAGTGTCTTCTGCTGTTCCCTGCCTTCCTGCCTACATCCTCTACATGTGCCTCAGGCATGCAGACTACATCAACGATGACCAGAAAGTGCATTCCCTGCTCACCTCCACCATCAACAGCATCAAGAAGGTCCTGAAGGTGGGTGTCCATTCTCTTGTCTTGGAGCTGAGGTGCTGTAGGGTGGTTATGAGCAGCTTGAAGCATCTTGAGACTCACCTCTCCTGGTGCTATTCAAACCCAGGGAGTCTTACAGCTTCTCTTTTTAGGAGAACAAGGAGAATTTGGATCTCAGTGGTGAAACTGTTGGTGTTTAGAGATCTAAAAACCTTTTCAGGGAAGAAATGACTCATGCAGGAAGAGAGAACTTCCTGATTCTGAGGAGGGGGGAACTCAAAATCACTTTATCTTGCCATGCCAACATCCTCCACTGGAAGGGGGAGGTTCTCAGGTGTCTTCATTCTTCTCCAGAAGCACAGCAATGACTTTGAGATGACATCCTTCTGGCTGGCCAACACGTGTCGCCTCCTGCACTGTTTGAAGCAGTACAGTGGAGACGTGGTAAGAAACCTCCCCTTGGTCTTGAAGTAGAGCAGGAGACCTTCAAGAAGGGTCTTCACCTCTCCTGGGTCTGGTGGCTTCCCTCTGGCTGTGATAGGGAGGCACTTCTGGCTTTCCTTCCTTCCTTCAGTTATAAGATGATAGAATCATGGATGGGTTGGGTTGGGAGGGACCTTTCAAGGTCATCTTTTCCAACTTACACTGAGCAGGGACATCTGCAGCTAGAGCAGGTTGCTCAGCGCTCCATCCAACCTCACCTGGGATGGTTCCAGGGATGGGGCAGTGACCACCTCTCTGGGCAGCCTGGGCCAGGGGCTCACCACCCTCAGGGTCAAACATTTCTTCCTTCTCTCCAGTCTGAACTAGACCAGAGGTTCATGGGCTTGCACCAAGAGAAGACATTCAAGAGCTGAAACCAAGACCCTTAGAACCCAACCCCCAACAGACCAGTTTCTATTTCAGAGCCCACCCTACACTTGGTTTTGTGTCAACAGGGGATTTCCTTCTGCTAGGCTCTTTTTGAAGGCTCTTCCTCTGGTCTCAGGTCCCACAGCTTTTCATCAACCTGGATTTTTAGACAGGGGAAAAACTCTTCCAAATTTTGCATATTTCTACTGATTCTTTGATTTTTTCTTCTTTTGGGTTCAACGAGTTGAAAAACTCACCCTTTGAGAGAGCAAAAATCACCAGGGGAAGGAAATCCTCTCTCATTTCTTGCCACCTCAGTGATATTTGATAAGTCACAATAAGTTTTATTATACCTGACACCTCCTGGCTAAATTAGATCATCACAGTCCCTTCATGTCCTGGGTATGAAACCTTCAACAGAGCCACATTTCTGCCACTTCTCACTGAGTCTTGACTTGTGTTGGGTCTGTTGAAGGATCAAGCTTTAGGAATAAATCAAAAAAAATATTCATGGCATGAAATTTGGATCCAATTGGATCCAATGGGATCAAATGAACTGTTCCAGCCCTTCCCAGGAGGTAAATCCTCAGGGCTGGACTTGCAAGATTTCCAGTCAACAGGAAAATAATTTAAGTTTGCCCTCTTCTGCCTGGAGAACAACATGACATGTGAATGAAAACCCCCAGAAAACCACCAGAGCTAGAAAAAAACCAACCAAATTTCCATTTCACTTTGCTTGCTGTGATTTAGTGTGTTAAAGGAACCAGATTTTTGCAAATTCAGTTGATAATTGGAGGGAAAAACAAAAGAGAGGGGGGGAAAAAAAACCAATTCTGAGCAGTTTCCCAAATACCTCTTGAGTTGGGAACCCATGAATATCTGAGGCCAGTTCCTTGGAGAGGTTTCAGGCTTTCAAATCAATGTAAAATGTTGTCAAAGCACTTAGAGTGTGTTTTATTTTTATTCTTTCTGAAGTATTTCTCTCCAAATCTCTCTTTTCTCATCAATCATTGTGATGATCTCATCAATAATTGCTCAGGGATGAACAAATTAAAGATTTGGTATTGTTTTGCTATTAAAATTTGGGGGGGGGGGGGGCTGAGGTGACTTTTTCCAGTTTATACATATTCCAATTAATAAACATGCTAAGGATAAAATGAACAAAACTTCTCATTTAATATTTTTCTTTCTAAAACAGCCCTTGAGAAAGAAATGGTGAAAACAAGGCTGAGGAAATCGGGGGGGGGGATGATGAGTCTTGATCTTTGCTCTAACAGACTAAAAATGGACTTTGGGACCATCTGGATCTCTTGTGCTCAAAAGATTTCTTTTGAATATTTTAAGAAAGGGTTTTTTAAATAATTTCCTGGGCTCTAAAGAGGTGGAATAATCAAAGCAAGGGTTTTAATCTCCTTTCTTCAGGGTTTCATGACCCAAAACACGGCGAAGCAGAACGAGCACTGCCTGAAGAACTTTGACTTGACAGCATACCGTGAGGTGCTGAGCCAGCTCTCCATCCAGATCTACCAGCAGCTCATCAAGGTAGCAGAGGGCATCCTCCAACCCATGGCTGGTGAGTTCCCAGCACCTCAGCTTCTAGGAGAGTTGGGTTCTTCTGGAATTAGCTGCTCGAGTTGGTTTTCAGGAGTTCATGTGCTGCTAACGGGACCTCTCCCAAAGGAGAGATCTACAGCTGGGAGAGAGGTCCAACAAGGGGCCTGCCC